GCTAAAGGAATGGGAGTTGCAGTTAAGAGAGCAGAGCCAATAGACAAGAGAGAGGAAGACCTTATGTGGTCAAATGGGGTTCTAGGAGATTCATCTCCACAATCGTTAGTAGACACAATGGTATACATGTGTGGCTATTATTTCGCTTTGAGGAGTGGGCAAGAGCACCGTGATTTGAGTTTTTCGCAGCTAGAGATTATAGAGAGAGATGGCTTGAAAGTTTTGCGATATTTTGAAAACACATCAAAGAATAACCCTGGAGGACTAAAGCACAGGAAAATTGAACCCAAAGTAGTTGAGCACAGTGAAAATAAAAACAATCCTGAACGATGTTTCGTGAGATTTTATCAAATCTATGTCTCACATTGCCCTCCAGCATCAAAACGTACCAGCGATTCGTTTTATCTCCCACCACTAAAAAAGAAGAAGGATGACATATGGTTTTCTGGTGTACCCATAGGACACAACACTTTGGGAAAGACGGTATCTCGATTATGCAGCATGTCTGGCATCAAAGGCTTCAAGACAAATCACTCGTTGAGGGTCACTGCTGCAACTAGGCTCTTCCATGCAGGAGTAGATGAGCAACTTATCATGAAGCGAACTGGCCACAGAAGTATAGATGGAGTTCGAGCTTACAAAAGGATTGCAGATGATCAAAACAGAGAAATTTCAGATATTCTCAACAACGAAAATGGGCCATCTAAGAAAAGGAAAATTGAATTAGATACATGTATCAGTGAAGAATGTACTGAAATTTATTCCAAAACACCATTCACCCTCAATATAACTAATTGTAATAACGTCTGTATCAAGATGACGAAGGAATAGCCTAAAAAAGGGAACTAGAGAAAGACACTAAAGACATAATCATAACAATTATTCAACATAATTATTATAATCTTCAATTAATTATTTAACGAGATAGGTTTATATTTTTACGAGCTAGGTTAATATGAAAAATAATTGACCTCCAATACTGCAATTTCATTGGTCAATTGCAAGGTGGCATGGTAGAATATTATTTATTGTTCTTTATTTTCAAAGGTAAAGTTATTGAAGATTATGAAAGAGATGAAGAGGTACATGCTAATACTTTATTGTGCTTGATGGTTACATTTGTGATTTGATTTTGTGTATATGCTATAAGCATGCAAATTGATCAGACGTACATGGGATAATAGTAATTTGTAGTAGTATGTTCAGTTTCATGAAACAGACTTCATTACATTTCCTGATGCATATAACTAGTTTGAATAAATTTACCCGAAAATCAGGCCAAAGTCCTTGCATTGTAGTACAGGGTCTTTGGCCTAATTTCACCAAAATAAAATGGTGAGAGTTCTTCATTTTTATAATTTTTAAAAATACATATACATGTTTTGATGTTGTTTAAGAAGTTTGAGCAAATTCTGATTAAATTTGAATTTTTAAAGAATTTTCAAAGTTGCTCAAAAATCGGGCCAAAGTCCCTGTACTATAGTACAGGGTCTTAGGCCAAATTTTGCCGAAAATTGAAAAGTGAGAATTTTTAATTTTTATAATTTTTAAAAATACATATTCATGTTTTTATGTTGTTTAAGAAGTTTGAGCAGATTCTGATTAAATTTGAATTTTTTAAGAATTTTCAAAGTTGCTCAAAAATTGGGCCAAAGTCCCTGTACTATAGTACATTACATGAGGGAACTAAGCCCTTAACAAACATCTTTAACAAAATAAACACAACACAGAAATTACTAGGTTTAGAAGTAAGATAGTACAGGGTCTTAGGCCAAATTTTGCCGAAAATTTAAAAGTTATGATTTTTTATTTTTATATTTTTTTCTAATACATATTCATGTTTTTATGTTGTTTAAGAAGTTTGAGCAGATTCTGATTCAATTTAGATTTTTTACGAATTAATTTTTCAAAAATTGTATGAAAGAGTTTTTAAATACAACCCAATTTTCAGAAACAACTCAAACTTTCTACATAGCATAAGGACATCAATATGTATCAGAAAATGTAATAAAAATTGAGAGTAATATGACAAAGAGACATGGCACTCTCTAGTTCATTTTAATGACCAAATTAATTAATTTAATAGCTTTTTCTATTTGTATTGAGACTTAATAGCCAACTGATAATATTTATAATTTATTTCTATTAGCAGGAAATCAATGAAGGGACTAATAAGGAAGTAGGAGAGGAACGTTCACATGGAATCGTCTCCATCAAGACATACGTTAATTATTTCAAAGCTGGAGGTGGATATGTATTCACATTAATATGTATTGCACTCTTATTCATATCTGAAGTAAAATATTAATGCACATTAATGTGTGTATTATCATTATTATTCATTTCATTAGGCAAACGTTGTTGCTACAGATTGGTGGGTAGCTGACTGGTATGCTGTACTATTTATTAAAAGCAATTAATAAACTTATATTTTATTATGTTAAAGGTCACAGTGCTCTGTCCTA